TACTCATTGATGTTACTTAGTTCGTTTGGTAAGCAAGTCTATCTCGATTACTTTAAAGTTTTCCAGAATAATTCAGACGTTTCTGAATTTCAAATACACGTTGTACTACATTTCATTTCAATTTATTCATATAATAAAGTCATTCTGGTATTCGTGGTTGATTTGACTAACGACTACTCACTTATTAGTACTGTATGCGCTCTAGAGTTGAGCTGCGCCAAGTACTTCCAGAATTATCATCGATCCAAATTTGAGCTGATGAACAAACATTCAAGTGATACTTATATCATTCAGGTAATGATATAGTACTAACGTTGGTTAATCACTTAAGTTGCGTTTCACAACTTTTACTGGTAGCACAACATCCATGTTTATTTGGATTTCTTAATTAATCCAAGACATTTACTTATTCTAGGTCATAAGGGCATTTTGGTCATTTTGGTGCTTAACATTTTTTTCTATTCATTTCAAAGCTTGAGTATATCCATTCATTCCTGAGCTTGGTGACATTCTAGAGTTATTTCCATTCCAGGGGTAATTTGGTCATTTTATAATTCTAGAATATTTCAATCATTTCCTTCCATCCGGTCTTATTATTTAATTCAATCTTATCATTTACTTCAGTCCTTTCGAACAATTCTGTCAGCAGAATACCTCCAATAAATTACTCTTCAAGTATTTACCCCTTATTCGAATATTTTCGGGTCAAGTGTCTTCTCAGATTTTACAAACGGAATATTATAAATTTTTCTGTACAAAGACAGGATCTTAACAATTAAATTCGTACTTAATCGAGTTAAGTACAAATCCTCAAAGTACTCTCTCATTCAGGGTCAATTCAGACTTTTATCTCTCAAGGGCATTTTCGTAATTTCTTAACCAAATAATTTCAATATTAGCACTTAACGAAAATAATTATAATTTAGAGATCCTATGATCAATTGCTTTCCCGAACATTCTTTGATTTTGAAATGATTCCTTCACAAACTCTCATAGGATTAAAACCGGTTATCCATAATTTCCAAATAAAACTAACATTTCTTATGCACATCAGTAGTTATATCGGATCAATATGTCTTTTCAGAGTTATTAACCAACTTCCAGGGGCAATTCTTATCATTTTCCAACATAAGGGTAATTTCGTAATTTTACCATATCGGAGTATTCTCATAATTTTTCATCCAAGTATCTTTAACATTTAACCCTTGATGATATAAAATATAAGTTACAAATCCAGAGCTGATTTCTTTATCACCAATCACAAACTTGTAATTTAATTCTAACAATTATCAATCTCTTATCTTAGTCATTCGATCCGTATTCAGTTACAGAATTTCTACCACATTCATATCGAGTGAATAAATTATTCAACTCCACAAAAGTGACCAACATTATCTTATTCATGCATTTACCAATATCAACATGTTCCATAAAGCATAAAGAGGTAGTAAAGTATTACCTCGATTTCCGTGTAATACTGATCGACCATAAAAATTCCATTCGAACGCCTTTGATCTTCAATTCAACTTCCAATAATTCCTCAGATACATATCAGCATAAATTATATCAGAAACGGAGCTTAATTACGATAAACGGATCGAATCGGGTGATAAATCAGTGAAAGACGGCTTACCGGGTTTGAATTTGGCGAAACGGACTTCGGATTCGGATTCAGGACGTCGAAAGCATAAAATATGACTTTTCGGAAATTTGGAATTTTTTTGGTCAAAATCAAAGTCAACGGGTTTGACTGACAATTACGAGGCCTTCGGGTTCGAATTTCGAAAAACGGACAGCGGAATCGGATTTGGAACGTCGAAAAATGTCAGGATAGGTATACTCGGTCGAAGTCAAAGGTCGTTTAATGCCCGATCAAAGCCGGTCAAAGTTTTGGTCAACAGTGGTCAACTCCGGTCAATGGTCAACGGGTCAACGGTCAACGGTCGGGTCAACGGGTCGGGTCGGGTCAACGGGTCGGGTAAACGGGTCGGGTCGGGTCAACGGGTCGGGTCGGGTTGTGACCGGTCAAACCGGTCAAAACAGTTCCAAAACCGGTCAAACCGGTCACTTTTTCCTTCCCCACGCGCAGTGGCGGCGCGTGGGGGCGCGTGAACAGTGATAAAATCCCGGAAAAATTTCTAAAAATTATTTTGAGCGATTTCGAGATACTTACAAAGCTCGGTTCACAATTTTGAACGGCGGAGAGCTCGATTTCAACAAATCGGGAAGTTTGACCGGTTCACCTCCCAACGCGCCGCCGCCGCCGGAGAAAAAGAAGAACACCGGTGGACTCGGAACGGCACAAGGAACACGATGGTGCGGGAGGTGTCGTAAACAGATGACCCGATCGTCGTGAATCGATGAAAAACCAACTAAAACCGAGTTATTACCGACGATACTTCCAACTGAAATTCACGACGAACGGTGATGATTCACGACGAAAGGTTTGAGGGGTTTTGTTCCTCGGTTGGCAACGAACACGATGGTGGTTTCGGCTCGTCGATCGGAGGTCGGACGGCGAGTAGATCGGAGTTCGAAGTAAGGAGAACGGGAGAGGAAAACTGGAAAATTTTCCAGAAACATACGGGAGTCTGGGGGTTTATAATATCTCATAATTAAAAATGGCTAAACCAAGAGTTTAGCCATTGAACTTCCTGCACTTCTTAAAACGGTCTGTCAACTTTGAAATCTTACAATTTAATCCCTTATTTCTTTCAAAATACCAAATTAAATCCACCAATTTATATTTTCTTAATTTTAGCCCCTAAATTGGGGTGTTACAGTATAGTTTACTCATTTTAATAGGTTAATAAAAAAATTCTTAATTTATTAACAATATATATCCAATAAACATAATATTTTTTTAAATCTTATAAAAAAGTATAATATTTTTTTCATTATTGGGTAACTAATAAGTTCAATTTAATAGAAAAAAGATTTACATCATACTATTATCAGATATTTGAATATAGGTTATCATAATAGAAAAAAGATAAAATTAATAATATTTTTGTTAAAAACAACAATAGAATAGGTTAGTAAGTAACATAGTATAAATTACTCATTTTAATAGGTGAATATAAAGAAGAGAAAATAACATCAGTGACAAAAAATGTCTTATAATATACGATTTTAACCCATTTTTTTTGGATTTGCCAAAATGACCAACTAAATCGCAATGCGGTCGATAATTCGCAACGTGATTTCCGGTATCGCAAATCAGTTTCCATATTCGCAACGCGAACATCGACTATCGCAACGCGAACTTCGACTATCGCAATACGATTTTCCAAATTCGTTGCGATAATCCAAGTTCGCGTTGCGATAGTCCAAGTTCGTTGCGATAGTCGAAGTTTGCGTTGCGATTTATTCCAAATTCGTTGTGATAGTCCAAGTTCGCGTTGCTATAGTCGAAGTTCGCGTTGCGATTTATTCCAAGTTTGTTGCGATAATCGAAGTTCGCGTTGCGATTTATTCCAAGTTCGTTGCGATAGTCGAAGTTCGCGTTGCGATTTATTCCAAAATTTGTTGTGAAAGTCCAAATTCACGTTGCGATAGTCGAAGTTCGCGTTGCGATTTATTCCAAATTCGTTGCGATAGTCCAAGTTCGCATTGCGATTTATTCCAAATTCGTTGCGATAGTCCAAAATCGCAACGGCTGGTGGTATTGCATTTGTTTCTTAAGAATTTTCTCTAAAAAAATAGTATTCGCACGGACGTGTCAAAGACACGTATTACCACGACCACGACCACGAGACGGACGGCGGCGGCGGCGGCGGCGCGCGAGAATCCCCCTTATTCTCTATCACTCAACAAGGAAGTGGGAAAGCCAAGCCTTAAATACAATTCCCGATAGTGTTTTCAATACTATGTGGGATTGAGCATTACCAACACTTATTCCCAATACTATGTGGGATTGAGCCTTAAATAGTGATATTATTTGTGAATTATAGTTAATGACTTTAGTATTTGTATGAAAAGTATTTGTGGTTCGTTTAGTTTTCATGCAATTCTAATTTATTTTCAATTAATTGTAATTGCACGATAAAAAAAAATTTTATTCTCGCGAGTGATGCAATTTTTTTTTGAATGTTTTGCTTAAAATTGCAATAATCGTGATCGATTGTAGATTGACTTTTAATTATGACATATTTAATCGTATAATACTAATGCAATTGGTTGCTGATTCAGTTGTTTTAAGGTGCATGATTGTTAATTGTTTCTTGAATAATCACATAGTATTAGAAACAAGTGTTGGTAATGCTTAATCTCATATATTATTAGAAATACTATTGAGAATGATATTTAAGGCTTGGCTTTCCTACTTCCTTGTTGAGTGATAGAGAACAAGGATGACTCTCGCGCGCCGCCGCCGCCCGTCTCGTCTCGTGGTCGTGGTAATACGTGTCTTCGACACGTCCGTGCGAATACTATCTTTTTAGGGAAAATTCTTAAGAAACAAATGCAATACCACCAGTCGTTGCGGTTTTGGACTATCGCAACGAATTTGGAATAAATCGCAACGCGAACTTGGACTATCGCAATGCGAATATGTAAATCGCAAAAATCTGGAAACTGATTTGCGATACCGGAGATCGCGTTGCGAATTATCGATCGCATTGTGATTTAGTTGGTCATTTTGGTAAATCTAAAAAAATGGTTAAAATCGTATATTATAAGACGTTTTTTGTCACTGAGGTTATTTTCTCTAAAAAAAATTCTCTTAATTTATTAACAATGTATATATATACCCAATAAACATAATTGTTAGAACTTAAATTTTATAAAGAATATAATATTTTATTATTATTATTATTGGGTGACCAATAAGTTCAATTTATCCTCTTTTTTTAATAGTATCATTATTGATTTTTAACTTACTTCGACTTGGAATTTTCTCAATCAAAACCAAAATCAGAGAGTGGGTTCAAGAAGAGTATTATGAGGTTGGGAAGGGCGAATAGAAACTGCATAAAAAACAAATAAATAATAAAGTCGATAAAAAGCCAAAATGAAATCCGATTTTGAAGTCCGTCGCTCTTGACATTTCCAATAAGAACAAAACAGAAGAGCCTTAAAACTCATTTACGATTTGATTTTGAAATCCATTGACCCTCTCGTTTTTTTTCTCCTTAATTTTTCTTCTTCTTTAGTTTAGTTAGCTGTTGTTGATGGGCCAATCACTATCGGCGGCGAAGCTGAGGAGCCGTCGAGATTGGGACCAACGCCAGAGGTCAAAACCGAAATCAACGTCTCTGATCTGTCCAATGCAAGCTGAGGAAGCTGAAGAGCGTGAACGAAGTAGCATAGATGGATCCTCGGATTTCATCTCGAATCTTCCCGACGAGTGTTTGGCTTCTATTTTTCAGTCTCTTAGTCCCGCTGACCGAAAACGATGCTGTCTCGTTTGCCGACGGTGGTTGATCATTGAAGGACAGAGTCGCCACCGTCTCTCCCTCAACGCACAATCAGATCTGCACCCTCTGATTCCTTGTATCTTCTCTCGCTTCGATGCCGTTACAAAACTGGCTCTCAAATGTGACCGTAGATCTGTTAGCATCGGCGATGAAGCGCTTGTTCTAATCTCCGAACGTTGTCGGAACCTGATTCGCCTTAAGCTACGAGCTTGCCGTGACTTGACCGATGCAGGAATGTCCGCATTCGCTAAAAACTGCATTGGTCTAAAGAAGCTCTCCTGTGGTTCTTGCTCTTTCGGAGCTAAAGGAATGAACGCCGTGCTAGACAACTGTCCAGCTCTCGAGGAACTCTCCGTGAAACGACTTCGTGGCATCACAGACGGTGCTGCTGCTGAGCCGATTGGTCCTGGTGTTGCAGCGGCGGCGTTGAAAACTATTTGCTTAAAAGAGCTTTACAATGGGCAGTGTTTTGGTCCGCTTATTATCGGTGCGAAGAATCTGAAATCTTTAAAACTATTTAGATGCTCTGGTGATTGGGACAAGCTTTTCCCTCTCATAGTGGAACGGGTCACGGATCTGATAGATATCCATATGGAGCGGATCCAAGTCAGTGATGTCGGTCTTGTGGCCATATCCAATTGTTCAAACCTAGAAATTCTTCACCTTGTTAAGACTCCCGAGTGTACCAACGCCGGACTCTCAGCTGTTGGAGAGAAGTGTAAATTGTTAAGGAAGCTTCACATTGATGGATGGAAAGCAAATCGAATAGGTGATCAAGGATTAATCGCTGTTGCAAAATCTTGCCCAAATTTGCAAGAACTAGTTCTTATTGGTCTTAATCCCACCAAATTGAGTTTGGAAATGCTTGCTTCGAATTGTCTGAATTTGGAACGGTTAGCCTTATGCGGTAGTGATACAGTTGGTGATGCAGAGATATCGTGTATTGCTGTGAAATGTATAGCTTTAAAGAAGCTTTGTATTAAGAGCTGCCCTGTTTCGGATCATGGAATGGAAGCACTTGCTACCGGTTGTCCTAATTTGATTAAAGTGAAGGTGAAGAAATGTAGAGGAGTTACCCCGGAAGGTGTGGATTGGTTAAGAGCAATTAGAGGAACACTCACGGTTAATTTGGATATTGGCGAACAACTAGTTGCAAGTGCTAGTGATGGTGGGGCACAAGATGATGGAGTTGAGTTTCCTCCGATGGTGGCAGGTCAAATTGGAACTCCTAGTATTGCTTCAAGTAGCATGGGGAGATCAACATCGTTTAAGTTTTTAGGGCTTTTGAGTGGGAGGAGTTTTGTGTCTTGCACTCTAAGGAGGTTGGCAAGTAGTAATGACTGTTCTCAGACTTAAGTTGGATGGGTGAGCCGAAATTGCAACGACAAAGAGTAAAAAAATGAAAGCACGCCTCTTGAACTGTTTACATTAATTTTTTTGTATTGTAGTTCTCCTTTGTTTGTGTATTTAATTCAATGCTGTGTGCTGATGATTTCCTTTTGCATTCATCTTCATTTTCAATTTGATAGTTTAAATTTACATTCTTCTAACTCTCTTGGATCTTAGTTTCTTTATTTAGCAATCTGTCTCTGTCTTCATTCTTCACAACTATAGTTATCCTACACAGGAATTTAAAGAAAGTATTCTGATGCATTAGTTAAGATCTCTTTAATATTTAGCTTCCAATTCTTTTGTTGTATATTGATATGGTAATATGATGCATATGACATGCCTATCTCTGTTACCTGAACATTTTAGTTTCTGAAGTATCTTGTGTTTTTTATATCTCTGTTTGATACATATTTGAACATGGATATGTGGTATGATCCTTCAAATATAAGAAAAAAATCTTGATTTAGTATGCTTGTGTTGGATGCATACTAATATCCAAGACTCATCCCAAGTTGAGGTATGATGTTCGGTACTGATTCTATTGTGAGTGTAACTCCTTTTCTGTATGATTGTCTGTATCATCGGTCGAGGTTTTTGCATTATATTCAATTTTCAAATATAGAAAAGATTTGATAGGAATCCCGTCAGTATTGCGTTGCTATTATATGAGCCCCTTCATTTATATGGTTTATGATGCTTTTGCGATGGCTTGTTGATCTGCAATATTAAGTGGTTTATGGGTTAGAAATTGCACTAGAATCACTTATTGAGCAGCCTGTGGATCTTTAACCATACTTCCACTTATGTAATCATGCATGCATGAATTTGTTACTTCTATTGCTGGGGACATGTTCTTGAAGTTTTGACACTTTCAGTGTTTAGCTCTAATCTGGGATTCAAATGGGGGGATGAGCGGCTGTATCACGATTGCTATTTAGCGGCACCGCCTCCCTCTGCCACCACTATTCAACAAAATAGTGCCGTAAATGTTATTGACGACAAAAGTGGTCGGCAACTGCCATGATTTTCATTGTAACTGAAAATAATGGCAATAACGAACCAAATCACTTCCGTTTGAGGGGAAAAAATCTTGACAATATTTTTCATCAAAACTAGTAGAGTTTTTAAGCTTATGTGGGATCTGAGTTAGGGGCAAAGAAAATGAGAGTGTAAGCAAGAGAGCAAAGAAAAAGATGAGAAAATAAAATCTGCAGAAAGCAAAACAGCAGAAAAAGGGAAAGTTGAAAGACATGAAAGACTTCGAAAGGTTTCTGACCCAGAAAGAAATGCAAAGGCGATTTGGTTGGATAAATTATCCAATCAAAGTCGACTTTAAGAGTACTTTGCTTTAAAACATAATTATCAGAATATGTAATATTGATTATGTAATATTATTATATCTGATTTATTTGACCGAATTTTAAAATTATATAATTTGATTGATAAAACATAGCGTAAACTATACATATGGTCACTGATTGTTTGAGTAAATTTTATTTTTATAATAAAACTTTAAAAGTAATAAATTAATTATTAATATTATTGATTTGTAGTAAATTGGTCACTCAATAATAACGGTTGATAACGTAGGTGAAGAAAAGTTTATTTAGATTTAAACATTCCCATACTGTTCATTCGCTTTAATGCTTCTCCCAACCAAACAGTTAATAAAGAAATAAGGGTAAACTACATAGATGTATTTTTATTTTTTTCACTGAAGTTTCAAAAATAACAAACTGATTATTAACGTTATTGATTCATAACATATTAGTCACTTGACGTAAACAGTCGTTATTGTGAGTAAGAGAAAACTGATGTGGCGCGTTATCTACTGATATAGCACCATTTGACCATTATTTTGACCCTCTCTCTTTCATCTCCACTTTCCTGTCTCTTCACTTCTTTTAACTCTTCAAAACCCACAATTTTTCTTCAATATTTCTTCTTCGTTCTCACGCTTGTACATGCACTACTCCAAAAAGAAAAACAAAGAAGCCATGCTCCAGTTGAAGGCCGATTACTACGTCATCCCAAGGCAGAACTTAAAGCAGCATTTGCACAAGTGATATGCATACGAATAGATTGCTTAAATTCTCCATCCAACGAAGCGAATAGCAATAGAATTACGAAAATGCTTTAAGCATATCAATTATGAAAGTAAGGCATAAGCTACCTGAAGCCTAATAATGTGTTACGTGAGAAATGGAAGAGCTTAATGTTCAAACGTCATAAGTAACTCGAGACTAATACATAATTGCATATATTTTAAGAGAGAAAACATGTCAGAGATTGACGTGAGAGGAAGTATCCTCATTTAATTGATTATGAAGTGATTCTTGTGTAGGAAAGTTACTTTGATTGGCCTTATGTGACAAATGTGATATGTACAGCCTCTGGACACTATTGTAAAGCTTAAAGTTCGGATCTTACCGCTCGCAGGTTAGGAGATTGGATATGTTCGAGACCGTTGCGGCAGGACTTCCAGCACCATCTCATCATAGTACAATATCATTTACTTTAGAGGGCTTGTCTATTCACATGGCCCTTATTTGTGTTTAAAGGTGTAAATGAATCGAGCTTCAACGAATAAAATTATGTTCGTAATAGTCATTTATTTTTAAAGGTGTTCATGTTCGATTCGTGTTCCTTTAAATTTTAATATCGTGTTCGTGTTCTTTTATTTATTTTTGAATGTGTTCATATTCATTCGTTTAGTATTCGTGAACATATCCGTTAATGTTCGACAACCAACACTCTTTTAACTCATTTGTAAGCTAAAGAAAAAAGGTGAAATTGTTGCATTAGTCCCTAAGTTCCTTAAGCTTCACAGTTTGAGCTCCAAAGTTCACCTTATGTTAAATTTAATCTCTATCTTAACAAATATTTAAAATGTAAAAAAGAAAAAGAAAAGAATATGTGAACTAAGTAAATGAGTTTATAAATGACACGATAATCTTGTTCATGATTAAAAATGAACCAAAACACATATTTGTTCGTGTTCATTAGTTTATTAAATGAATATAAAAATTTTGTTCATACTCGTTTATCTAACTTAATAAACCAACGTTATACCAATGATTCACGTACAATTCATCAAACACTCTACTCATTTACCCCTATGTGTGTCCTGATATATAAACTCTATTGATAGTTGGATTGCTTTGATTTATATTAAATTATCATGAAACTCCGATTTAATACAAATATTATATAACTGTTAATGATATCATATTTTGATATATTAATATTAAGATGTGGAGCTATAATAAAAAAAAATATTTAAAATTTAGTAGCTGCTTGATGACCCAATATAATATCTTAAATTCATCATATTGTGGATGGATTTGGTATATTACCATAAATATTATACGATTAAAAACACGAACACCAATCCATTTTAAATTATGTGTATTATTGTTATGATATAGTTTCATGTAATATGGTTAGGTTAGTTCAATGGTAATGAAGCATTAAGAAGTTTTAGGCCTAATTTCATTCCATTTTACTAGTGAGTTTTATCTTAATTTACTCTACTAACTCATCTTAATTGTAATGTTAGGTAGAGGGTGAGCATCAGGTCTTAAGTTGGCATGCCTATATTTTCAAAATAATAGTAACAAGGTTGGCATGCCTATATTTTCAAAATAATAGTAACAAGGTTGGCATGCCTACCGCCACATGATTCCAAAACTTTGGTTGGCTTGCTTCTTTCTTCTTTGAATTTAGTAGGATTGGGTCAGGTTAAATTTAGAACTAAAAAAGAAACTAAAATAATATTATAATTACCATTTATATATTTAAAGATAATTATAATAATATTCTTCTCTATGTTTTATCTAAAAAAAATAAAGTATATATATTAATCAAATTATTTTTGTCATTAAATGTATAATGAATGTTAACCTACTTATAATACAGTCACCCATGGTGTACTCGTTTCCAAATTGATCCATTCTTTTCATTTTCTTTTTCGTTTTCGTTTTTGCTCTGTAACAGAAATAGAGCCGCCGTGAAGTCCGATGTTTTTCCTTTTCTTCTGGAAAATAAAAAGGTTGAAATCTTTTACAAGTCCCTATACTATAGGTAAATTATAGATTTAGTCTCTATAGTTTGATATTTTTAATCTTGTACTTTTAACAATTTAAAATTTCGGTTCTGGCTCAAATGATAGTTATTAATTTCATCAAATTTTACTATCAATTTGTGTACTTTGTAAGTTTAATATTTAATAATTTTAAAATTTTAAAGAGTATAAGATCAAAAGTGACCAAATTAGAATACAGAGACTACTGCATAAATCATTTATAGCATAAAGTCTCAAAATCTGTAATGCTTGGTATCCATGAAAATTGTGGAACTGCTAAATAATATCCTACACTAGGCAATGGGGCATTTTTTTCCCGCAATGTATGTGCCCTAAAAAAATGAAATAATTTTAATTTTTTCTTCTATGGTTCGTGTGATGATTACAAGTTATTATATGTTAAAAATTCTCTTAATTTATTAAGAATAAATGTACACACCTTACCGACATTTGCTTGAACCTTAAACCCAAAACTCTTAGATAGAACAACATTCTCTTTAACTACTTACATCGCTTGATTGATTACAAACTAAATAAGAAGAGAACATTAATTTTCAAGTAAAATACATAATTGATATATGAAGCAACTTTAAAAACAGGATATATTAATCAACTTGTAGAATCCATTGTTATATGATGCCATAATATATACAAATACTCTATCTCCTTCCCAAGTACACCATCACCATGGATAAATACCAAATTATTATATACATAATAAGCCATCTAAGTAACTTTTATAAACCAGAGAGATTGTCAAAGAACTGTCGGGCTTTCCTTCATTCTCTCCCTTTTAGCCATCAGCCACTGCATTACAGTACCAGGCTTCGACTTAAGCAATGATCTTTCTGCCTAAATTTCCGAGTGCCCAGAATGGCTTGGCCGGGGTGCGCTTGAGTGCCTTCACTCCCAACGGGTTGCCCTTGCTCTGTGAAACAAATTCGATAAGAGTTAGTAACTTCCAACATAAGTAGAGCGAAAGGATCGATCGTTTTGAATTTGAGCATACCATCAAGCAGGTGCCTTTATCGACGTTGCAGA